ATTTCAGCTTTTTACAGTATCACTAGTGAGTTGATAAAATTAATTTATTGTAGTACTATAATCCCTCATATTTGAATTCATCTTTTCTATAAAACAGAGGAAGTTAAAGTCAATATGGAAATTGTTATTTAACCCATGAAAAATGGTTGTCAAAGGTCTTCTAAGGGAGTGGTATTGGAATTAACGATATGGAACACTTCGAATGACGGATAAACGATTTTTGGGAAGACTTAATCCGATGATGGCATCACTTTCATCCTTTCAAATGCTGCTTTTTCCAGTTGCTCTCGCTGACTTGGGTGTGAAATTCTTATTAGTTCATATGCCCGCTGTCGCATATTTTTGCCCCACAATTGAGCTATACCGTATTCAGTAACCACATAATGTACATGGGCTCGTGATGTCACCACTCCCGCTCCCTGTAAATTATTATATGACAACCTAAAATCTATTGAACTCAGTTCAATTACACATAAAAAAATAGGTGATTCTTTACCTTACTGAGATAAGGAACAATTTTCGATTCGCCTTTTTTTGTTAAAGACGGAAGAGCAATAATGGGCTTTCCAAGACCATCGATACTAAGCGCTGCGCCACGAATGAAGTCTACTTGTCCACCAAAACCGGAAAGAAATCGGGAACCCACAGAATCAGAAACAACTGTAAATTAAGTAGATGATTTGCTTATAAGAGTTGTTGGCAAACAGAAAGTATAAGCTTGCTGATTGATTTCTTGGGATTGCACTCATTTAAATAGGGCCTCCCATTTAGTTTAACTCAGTACAACGAAAAAATTCTTTCAGGGCTCTGAATATATCTTAAACTTGTTTTCCATAAATTAATAAAAAGAGTCATAATCAGATGAAATAATTAAAAGAAAACCTTGGCCAGTAAGATCAATTTCTACTGCTGAGTTTATTGCAGTCATTTTTGGCATCGTTTTCACAATCGATGGATCATTTACCCAAGCAACGTCACCAAAAAATACGAAAGGGTTGTCATGCAAGAAGGAATACAGTTTTTTGGAGCCGTAAACAAACGAAACCACCATCTGGAATGTTTGCTAATATTTAATTTACAAACAATAAACTGATGAACTGAAGAAGGATGACTGAAAAAACCAATAATCGCCACTTAAAAAAGAATGATTTTCAGCCCAATCGAATAGAAGAAAGAATAACTTTTCCTGGATGAAGAGTTTTTTTAGCATTAGTTATAGCATTGCATTGGACAAGTTTCAAAATACCATCTGAGAACATTTCTGTATGTATTCCGAGATTTTTATGGTTGCTCAACGCATTCAAAGCAGCATCTGGTACAGCTCCGATTCCTGAAGCAATTTTCTCGAACATATCAGATCTACTTATCCTCTCAACTTAACAATATTAATTTGTCAAATAACAACAAACATACGTTATTATAAAGTGATGGCTGGATGATGGCGAGAAAGATGAAGAGAAGTAATCGTTTTGACAATACCAAAAAGACTAGCACACATGTTAGGAAATTAAAACAGTTACGCTTGGTACTTCAGCAATACCGACAACAATGTTTTGAACATTTCAGTCATAAATTCCAAAATTTATTAGATTTCTATAGCTAATAAAGATAGGAAAATAATATAATACAATATAAAATAAATATAATAGAAACTCAAATATTGCGAAGATAAAAAAGGACAGTTTCTTTTAAAATAATGCATCAGAAGCTATAATTTGTCAAATAATATTATATTATTAGATATGAAAAGTGAATGTTGTTTATGGCGTAAGTGTAAAGAATTAATACATGAATTGAGGAAAAGCAACGGACCCATTTGAAGTGTGGCACCATTAGCAACTAGCTCATTCGCAATTAGTTCACCAATTTTTTTTCCACTTCTGATGTCTCTGCATTAAATTTACGTTCATGAAGAGAGAAGTCATTTACAACCATAAAGTCGATGTGACTTTCATGGATTACTGTATCACCGAAAGTGCGTGGCATGTTCTTGTTACAAATTGCTGAAAATAAACATTTCTGTAGTGCTATTATTTCTTGAAATTAGTTAGAAAGTAAGTGGAAAAAGCCAGAATCACTGTGGAAATATACTGCAAACGAAATAGATGAGGATATTAAGTACAAGACAAACCTATGACGTAATCTGCTAAAGTTACTGCAGCACGAGTAGAGTCAGCACCAGTTCCGAGTGTACAAAAACCATTAGAATCAGGTGGTGAAACCTGAAAAAAACTGCCAATTCGAAATTAGACTCAATCCAATAAAGCCTTATCATAGGTTAATTGCTCACAAAAAGACTTCATGCACAATAAATTGTCCGGAACGACACATGAAAAACATTACGTAATAAATTCTCACTTTAACGCAATATCTTTCTCTAAACTAACCGTAATTAACGCGGCGTTTAGATGAATCATTCCTGATCGGAACAACAATGGAATTTCGTGAAGAAAAATTGAATTAAAATCAGCTGTTCCTGAAATTATTTTAGTTAAAGGAATGTAATGCAAATTTTTAGTGAACTGGACCAATCAAAGGTGAGAAAACTTACCATCATTAACAGCACCCCTCAAGTTGTGTCCAGTGAATAAAGAATTCGAACGGATACGATCTAAAACGGAACACGAATCTCAAAGTACAAAAGTGATAATGACAAATATGATATTTTTAAAAGGCATATTAATGTACTATGATCAAACAAACTATGATCAAACAAACATACTTGAAAGAGATATTGAAAAGCACGTAATAAAAATACTCCAACCAATATAAGAAAAGTGAGAGAAAATACTAACCTTTAACATCAGCAGCTAACCATGGAGTATGACCTTCCAGATGCATATGATGTAAAGTTATTTTTTTGAAATTATTTGCTTTGACATGCTCACAAAGACCCTCCAGAAGTGGGGTTGGTGTCGCTGCAATGCCATGCACAAATATGTGCGACCCTAAAAGATATATACCATCTTGACTTGAAATGATGCCACTTTTTTTTCCATTTCTAGCTTAACGTCATGATTGTAACAACCGATATCATTGCTTAACATTGCCATGTATATTACATTACCATCGAAACTGTCAACTGTCGCCCAACAAAGTATGACATCTTCCGGGTAACAAAGCTAATTTCAACAAATTGCGAAATAGGTCCCAAGCGACAAAAGAACTTCTTAATCATATTTAAAGCGTAAAAGAAACAGTAAAAAGCCACTGCTAGTAACAGAACTTATATAAGTACTTGGAAGTTATTTTAAGATCAGAATATCATCGAAGTGTACACCTTGTAACTGTAATTTACGGCTGTACAAATGTAATTTACGGCTGTACATCTCAAAATTCGCCACCTTAAAATGTGTTAATCCTAATTGGGTAACATGCTTTCGATCATTTTCGCCACAGCCGTAAGTTACATTGGGAAAACTGAAGAACAGAAAAATAAAAATTTTTCAGCAATAGGAATATCAAAGTCACCGCTTTTAATGATGGAAACAGCATCCTTGCACTCCTTCACATATTTTGGTTTCTTGTCTGCGATCGGATAAGTCACCTCACGTCCTTCCACACCGCCACGTGTCGATCGAGGTGTCACAGCAGAGATTGAAAATGTGCGTCGAAATGCCACAGGAATAAAGCGATTGAGATAGTTCATATTAGGCAACATTTTATTAGTATCAACCGCACCGGTTAACTAATTCAATTTACTTGAATTAACTTCCAAGAATATGCGTATTTATAAAGACTTAAAGGAAATAAGTATTGTGTGGAACAGTCTTATCGATCGTAGCTGTGTACACTTCTCCCTAAAATGGACTTGCAAATATTTGGCCAATTAATTCTGCAGTTTTTTTTCTGAAGGAAGAAACAACATTACGAGAGATGAAACAAATACAGAAAAAAAGTTCAAACGTGTATTAGTGAATGTGCACATAGGAGTGACTTGGTTAAATTTCGTACATAGCCGGGAAAAATCAACGATCAAGTCGGCGGCGGCAACTGCCAGCGGAAATTTTTTGACGATTGGCACGGGCAAACTTTTATTTTTATTGGTTCACGAAGGACTTGAACATTACGAATACAGTCGATCACTAGGTTTATGCTCTTGTTGCCACTTGTAGGAAAAATTTGGTTGAGGTTGTAGTTCAGCAGGATTTGATGTGCTGCAGACAAAAGCAGTGAGTTGAACCGGATCGAAATTGTTGATCGAGTAATTTGAGTGAATCGATCAAAGCTGCCCAGTGAGCGATTCTAACTCTTCATAGAGTCGGGTTGTTTATATCATTTTAGACATTGATCTATCAGATTGAAGATCTCTACAATCTCAAACGCTACACATGAGCTTGATCACTAGATCGGCAAATGAAAGCTGAATAAATATTTTAGGCATCGAACATTTATTTTATTTTTTCGTGTAATGAATTATTTGTATCAGAAATATTCTAAATAAAGCAGTCCTTGTGCTAAAAATTTCTATGTTATAAATTTGGTTCAATTATTCCGAGATTTCTATATTACTCTGATTACTTCGACATGTTTCTATAAAATATGAGACAGCTGGGAAAAAGGTCGATATTTTAATTTCAGTAGTTAAAAAACGGGAAGATTGAAGGATGACTCGCTTTTTGCTTTTTGTGTTATGCTTCCTTCCATTGGAGAGATTGCGTCGCAAGCATGTAGTTCCATACCAAAAAGCCACAAAAAGGGAAAACACTAGGAGAAGTGTTTTCCTATAAACGTGTTGATGACACCCTCGCAATGCGTTATTACATCTCATAAGAGCTATAGTGGCAGTCTAATGTAAAAACTGATAAGCAAAGACAAAGTCATTATCGTTTTTGATAACGATATGGACAACATTTCAAATCTGACAGGAAGAGCACAACAACAGCAAAATGCATGTATTCTATACGTGAACATCACATCTTCTTATGTTCTCCTCTTTTAAAGGAATAACTTCGAGTATTCATAGTAAAATCAATGATGTGACAGGACGAAAATCTGTCGTGTCATAAACATAAGCAAGTGGTCAACGCAATAACAGAATCGCTGACGGTTAATGAAAGCGAAACAGAAACAAATAGCAAGAGACTAGTACCACGCCTGTCAGGAAATTAGGGAAAATTTATAACACGTTGAAACAATCGAAGTGTATATATCACAAATTTGTATCAAAAATATTGTTTTATTTGATCATTTTTCCGATAAATGATTCATTGCACATTTTTTTTCGTTTTCGTCTTTCATTTTTTTCTCATCTTTTTTCCCATTTTCCTCTAAAATTAGATTTCCAACGCATCAAGTGATTAATCGTCATTTATCCAGTTCCCCTAACACTATGATAAAGGATTGCCACCTTGACAACCATGTTACTTGTAATCTTTGATCTTTAGTGAGCATCTGTATGTATTGATGCGCATTGATGAGTAAAAGTATCTAATTTGATAATTGTGTTATCTCTAATTGGTACATGTCCAAATTTCCGTTAAACATCGCATTTCTTTGTCTGAAAAATAAATTTTTATGTAATGTATCAGTTTTGTAAACCGTATCCACAATAGAAAGAGATTTCAAATCAGTTTTTTGCATAAGCTCCGACGATTGATGGTCTCCTCGTTCCCAGTTCCAATTTATCTTCAATTATCTCCAGTTTAACAAACAGATCTCTCCCTCCTTTTTCTACCAGTAAGGAACTCATCCATAACCGTTTTTGTATTCCCTGTGTTCGCTAATAAACTGTTACTGTCATCAATAAATCCTTAGCAACCACCTTGCGTCGCGTCAGACAAAATAAACTTCAACGTAAGTCCCTTCCAAACCAGGTAATATTTTTCACAACACTTGAATGTTGGAAAGAGAATCTTAAGGAATGCGAGGTCAAAGAAGGAAGTGAGTGAGGAAGCGGAACGAGTAGTGGGCCATCCACCATGCATCTTTTGCTAATCTTCACCATGATATCAATAAGGCATCACAGGAATCGTTACGATTGCGTTCCGCTTTTCCCTTCTAATAGCTCACCATTTCTTATGTTGTTTTTGCTCAAAATTTAACATTTCGTTTGTTTCCATGTCGATAGAAATTCCTAACAGATAGATCCAGCCTTTAGTTTTTGAAAATGTCGATAATTTATACATTTGTAGAGAAATGTCAGCTAATAACTGGAAAACTCTTAACTCACTTCGTTTCACAAATCTATGCTGATTGTTATACTTTTCTCTGCAACTCCCTGAATTGTCAGGAATCAACGATGGCAAAATTATTTTTAGTCTATTTCATTTCGACTTTTTTAGGTTCAGTTTTACTTTAAAATCACAAAATACGGTTTAAGCGACGAGGAGAGGAAGTAAAGATTATAAAGATTATATCAAGCGAATCAGGAGAAAGTGCGGACCTCTTCAATCATAATTAAGCCTTAAAAGTGAAATGATAACGATTACGAAAAAGATGACACACTTTGGACTGCTGTTTATCTAATATATTTCAGCTTTTACAGTATCACTAGTGAGTTGATAAAATTAATTTATTGTAGTACTATAATCCCTCATATTTGAATTCATCTTTTCTATAAAACAGAGGAAGTTAAAGTCAATATGGAAATTGTTATTTAACCCATGAAAAATGGTTTCAAAGGTCTTCTAAGGGAGTGGTATTGGAATTAACGATATGGAACACTTCGAATGACGGATAAACG